CTGCCCTAAACCCAGTCCTCAACCAGCCTGTATTTGTGCCTGGGGTTGCCCCGACCCAGGTGCAGGACCTTGCATTTGGATATCGCTGCTTCTCATCATGCTGTGCTTGCTATACCCCGGGTCTCCTCTCCATCTTTTGCAGAAATATGTATGCACGCTTCTGCTTTCGTTTCTCTTTATTCTGATTGTCCATCTTTTAGCTTTACGCTTTGTTCTCACTCATGGTTTTAATCACGTTGGCAATAGCAGAACCGATGGTCCCAGAGCTACAAGACTAACGGATAACGCTGAGCCAATCCAATAATCTGGAGCTGCCAAAAGGGTCAGTGCTGCTGCCTCTCCAGGTGTGTATTCCTGCAGCCTCACCTGCTCCAGGTCTCGTGCTCTTCTGACCCTGCGGGGAGCTGATTCAGCTCACTGGGTGGACAGAAAGTACCAAAGAGCAAAGTGAATATTTTTTGGCCGCTTTAACAATATGAAAGTGGCTCGGAGAGGTGTCAGGTCAGGCCGGGCAGAGGGAGAGGGGCAGGATCCGGTGGCTGTGCCTCAGAGAAGGCAGAAGAGAGCAGCACTGACCTTTTTGGCAGGAGTAAGCTGTGTGTAACAGTGGCTTGGTCAGCTCATCTAACCTTGTCCTCAGCATAGCTTGTAGGATGAATACTATTGGCTGCTGCCCTTTACGTTTCCGCAGGCAGCAAAGGCTGGAAAATGTTTATGGTTTTGTTTCACTCTAGACAAATCAGCACAATCACATCCTGCAACCCATTCAGTGGCTCCTTCTTGGCCCTGTAGTGTGAAACCCCAGAGAATATGTTGTCCAATCTTGTAGTTATAGCCCAGCTAAGCCTGGGACACCCCAGCGTCCACTCACAAGCCTTCTCATAATTCAACAATATGTTTTTTATGGTAACTGAATCAAATGATGAGACTCTAAGCCAGCTCTGGAAACCCAGCCTACCCTGGTTCTGCAGGTGGCTGACTCCTGGTGTCTGAAGGCCAGGGTTACAAACTTCCTGATCCCTTGGCAGCTGAAAAGTTGGAATTAAACTTTGCTTATCAGACTTTAAAATCTGAAAGTTCATGAATGGTCTGCAATATTTCATTGCACTGGAAAACTGGTGTTTCCTAAGGTGTTAGTGATTACAACTGCCATTAATCCTTTGGGTTAGCAGTAGGCTTTTAAAATTCAATTCCAGGGCAGCACATAGCGGTTCCTAAATTAAGGACCTGTACAATTTTTGGCCACAAGCTTAGACACGTTGAAGTAAGGCTGCTTCACCTTCTAGATTTGTTCAGCCTTGTGTTACACCCTCAAATGGAGAGCCCAAAAAGACTAAGTGATTTCTAATAGCAATGGAGCAAGTATGCTTCGAGTGTAAACATTTTAGCTCTGCATTTTGAAGCTAAATGCTTCGGTCAGTATATGTCATTTCTGTCTATTGATTGCTTTTTATCCATCTCCAGTTGCCCTACTTCTGTTAGCTCTCCAGCTGGTCCTTGAATCATGGGCTGAAACCTGAATTTTAAGGAAAGAGAAAGCAAAATAAAGTGGCAATTAACTTACAACATGAGGATATAGGTACGCTGATAGCCAGAATGATCCAGGCAATGTCCATCTTGCTAAGGCAGATGGTTGCTCTGTGCTGGGGCTTGTCCCCCTCGGTGACATGGGAGATATTTCCTTGCACCCCAGGTTTCCAGGTCCCGGCAGGAACCAGTCTGTTGAGGAAGTTCCCGGTGGCGGTGGAGCCAGCTGTGGAAATGGAGCTGGACGACCTCGTGGCAGGTGCTGCGGAGAGAGCACTGCCCAGCAAGGTCGCATTAGTCACCGTGCCGTGCTGCGTTGGAGCCGGTCCCTTGGGGTCTCCTGCTGCTGGGGAGGAGATGCTGACGTCAAAACTGGTCTGAACTGCATGACTTGCTGCTGCTGTTGCAGATCCAGGGCCAGCAAACAGAGGGACATTTGTACTGAGATTCAAGGTCACCCAAGAGTTGTTTTTGCTCAGCATATCCCATACGCTGTAGCGGGTGGGTTTAAAAGGCACCGACACTGCTTCAGGATCAGCTGATGGTCCAGCAGTTGTGGTGGCAAAATCTGCCTCCTGCACCACTAGCTCAGCCCTATCCCCTCGCTCTGCTTCCCTAAGGCTTCCCGAGGTGTTGTGGTGGGGAGAAGGGTCCGAGTGTGTAGTTCTTGCCAGCCCCGTGCCATTGGGATTGCTGGATGCTGTGGTTTGGGACTGGAATGGATGGTCTGTGAAAGGGCTGCTCAGGGTAGGGAAGGGAGAGTGCAGCGTCGCCTTTAGGTAAGGCTCTGAGGATTCTGTGAAGTTGCCTTTGAAAACCTGGAATATTTTCCCCTTGGGGCGAGTCTGTCCCGAGTACAAAGCACTCTGGTTGTACAGATTATACATTTCCTTTTCGCCAACGTGGGAGCCACTTGCTTGCTTTTGCCCGGTGGAAAGGGACTTCTCCATCAAGCTGACAGGATGGGGAATGGCGTGAGTGGACGTGGGAAAGGGCTGTGCTGTGTGGCGGTCTTTCTGGCGAGGTGTTGTTCCCATGGCTGTGGTAGTGGTAGTGTCCATAGGGAAGCCCTGAGAGGAGGAGACAGTGGGAGACAGTACCTGAACAGAAAACACCAGCTCTTCTGTCAGTGCCAAGATCAGTAGAACACCTGGAGGAAAAAACACACAGAGAGGGTGAGACACCAGGGAGGGACCAGCGGACAAGGAATGGCATGGTTTGTGCCATCTGGCAGGAAGGAATACCTTCCATATTCCACAGAAGGACAGAAGAGTTCTTTCTATGATAAGGTTACCCACCTAGTTGACCAAGGGAAGCCAGCTGATGTAATCTTTTTGGACTTCAGTAAAGCCTTTGATACCCTCTCTCACAGTATCCTCCTGGACAAGATGTCCAGCATCCAGCTGAATAAACACACACTGCTGTGGGTGAGCAACTGGCTGACAGGTCGGCCTCAAAGGGTTCTGGTCAATGGGGTGACATTGGGCTGGCGACTGGTCACTAGTGGGGTCCTGCAGGGATCCATCCTGGGGCTGGTGCTCTTTAATGTCTTCATCAATAACTTGGATATAGAACTTCAAGGACTGCTAACTAAGTTTGCCAATGACACCAAATTGGGAGGAGTTGTGGACACTCTTGAGGGCAGAGAGGCCCTGCAGACAGATCTAGGTAAATTACAGAGCTGGGCAATCATCAACTGTATGAATTT